TCCTTCCCCAGCAGGGTGTAGTTTTCAGTCATACCCAGGTCCAGGAGCCTCCTGCCATCCCCATGACTCCTGCTCTTACCTCCAAGGTTGTTCTGAGCAGCAGCTGAGCTGGATGGTGTTCTCTCCAGCTGCTTGCAGCAACTCCTGCCTGAGCCTTGAGGGCCTGGGTCTAAAGTGGAGGCTCCAAAGGTGCTCTGCCACAATCTAATAGACCATAGTCTCAGATATCTGACTGCATTCAATTATTATAGTAATGGCAGGGTATAAGCACTTAATAGATCAGGAAAACATCCAAGACAAATCTTTCTTGCTAAGGAGAAATTGTTAGAACCCATTAGTATCTACCCATAATAGATCAGGTCACTCTTAAATGAAGTTAGTCTTTGGGGAATGTTATGTATGGAAAATCCTGAAAACAGTTGGAGTGTCTAACATTGTTTATTAAATTTTGGTTAAAATGTATCAATAAAGGATAGTTGTTAAACATACTGAGTTTAATTAAAGTGTATTTGTGTACCGTTTAAATCAAGGATGCTGATTTTTGACTGTTTTTCTATAATATAAATCATAGTGAAGCAGGTTAGAATCATATATATCTTTCAGAATGTGTGCTTATTTCATTGAAGTTGCCTTTGAAATGTACCCTTAATTACTTTTCCTGCTTTGCAATAGAAATGGATAGACATGGACCAGAGATTGCAAAATATATTCACTTGTTTATTGCTTATGTTGATACTTTTAAGGTGATAGAAGAATTGCAGACTGCACCAGCAAACAATGAAGAAAAAGAGCTACTTCAGTTATTGTCAACACCACATCTGAAGGTAAGAATATAAAGTACTAAATGTTACTTTTCTCAGCATAATCACCAGAAGGGAAACTTTGTTAAAGGAAGGTTAAAACTAACAGTGCCTGGAGCCCTAACTGGGTTAAGAGAAGCCTGGGGCTTAATTGAGTGGGGGACAATACAAGGAGGTAATATTGACTGAGCAGAGCCCAGGCTGTGCAAAGGAAGGCTCTGATATTCATTGAGAGCAGGACAAAGCAAGGAGAGAAATTGACTGATCAGAGCCCGGACTGTGCTAAGGACAGCTCTGAGATTTAGTGAGTGTGGAACAAAGCAAGTAGAGGAAATGATTGAATTACACATGGACTGGGTGGTGTGAGTTCCCGTAATTAACCAAGAAACTAGATCAAGGGACAAATTGATCACCCATGGTGTGGGCTGTATTATGGGACCCTAAATGATGGATAGATCAGGAGCTGGGAAGTTGATCTAGTGGAGTGTGGTCCGAGATATGAGATGACCTGATGTTTATTGACACTGAAACAGGAAGAAATATCTGTCAGGTGTAGGAAAGGCCACCTTACTTGCCAATTTAAGTTAAATTTGTACGTACAATCTCATTGATTATGGATTTGACCAGGGCCGAATCTGGTGAAAGGCCAAGAGATGGAGCGGAAAGGGGAGTTGTGGGAAATAACCCCTTGGGATCAATCAGTAAGGCTCAAGAATGCCATTTGGGTGAGTGATGGACACCAGTGTGTAGGGGAGGAGGAGAAATTTACCCCAAGGACTTACATCAGTCTAACCTGTTAATTGTGCAATCCCTCTCTCTGTTCGTATTAGTAACATCATAGTGTGGCAGCAATAAATCAATGAGTAGTGGAGTGGAGAGAGCCCAGAAGAAACAGTTAGTGACTATCAAATGACCACTGCTACAGGCATAATCTTAGCTACCTAGTGGGGCA